CTGCAGCACAGAGGGAAGGTCAGGAGGCTGGTGCTCCGGGTGGAGATGTGCAGCTTGATGCAGAGGATGAGGAGCCGTCGCGTGTTTCTGGAGGATTTTGTGAAACCCAAAAGGAGAGATGCACATTGCAGCCTTGGAGAAAGGTCCGCTTTGTTTTTTAATAATAAAGGGTGACATGCAAGCTTTATTAACTAGGCACGTAGGGGAAAAAAAGGCTCAAGGGATAACCCTGAAAAAGTGGTGCTAAATGTGTCATTTTTATGAAGCTGGTTTTGTGAAGAGTCCCTACATGCTTTGGCAGGAGGTTGCAGCAGGTTTACAATAATTTGTGGAAAGATAGAAATGTTTTCACCCTGAAGTGAGAAGAAGGGCAAACAACCCCTGTGCTGAGCTGCTTTAGAGCCATCTTCTGAGGCAGGGGCTGGCAGATGGATGGGTACCTGTCACTTCCATCAGGGACAGATGGGTGCAGCTCCAAACGACCCTGGACTTTGCTGGGGGCTGATGTGTGGACTGAGGAACCAGACCCTTTATTGGGATCCACATGCAGTGGAGAAAGCTGGATTTTCACCTCTGTGGAGTTTGCTTTGAAATATATCTCACGTTCGAAATTGCTGGAAAGAGGGAAGAGTGATAAAGAAGCACCTGCCTGGAGGTGAGCAGGCTGCAGGGACATGCTGATCCCAGCCTGCTGAGACACTTCCCTCCCACCCTGGGCACTGACCCCAGCCAGCATCCTCTGTTTCTCCAGCATCCACAGTGCTGGTTGTGCCTGGAGTTGCTGCAGCTCGCTGACCTTTCTGCTGGCACTTGCATTAGCTCCTCTTAAACTGTTTTGGATCTGCCAGGGTTTATTTCTGTGTCTAAGGCAGGGAGTGAGCAGTCCTTAGAGCAGTGCCCTGTTGCTAACAGACCTTTTGCTGTCGGGGAAGTCACCCCATCGATATCCAGGTCAAGAAGAGTTGTACTGACGTTTGTACTTTTTTTTTTTTTTTTAATTTAATGGAATTGGCAGTCCTCAACCAAAAGCAACCGCTAGGGGAAAGAAAGAAAGAAAGTTTAATATTTCCCTCCTGATTGCTCAATTCGGAGTGTGTCTGTTGTTATATTTATATTTGTGTTGCTAAGGCAGCGGTTAAAAGCATTTTTCAAATTAGGCCCTGGTAAGCTGTGTGCCAAGCCAGGGCTCTTCTGGTGGCATTGACACCAACACATCTGCATCTGGAAAGCAAATCCCGAGCCCAGAGGACAGCAGGGTTTCTCTCCTCCAAGAGAAATACAGGCTGAGGGCTTTATGCAAGGTGTTATTCAGCGTTTTCCAATTGTTTATTCATGGCACAGAGGCTGTGGGGCTGATCATGACAAGTGTGAGCATCCTTTCTTCAGTTCCAGCCAGCAGGAGATAAGAGCTGGCAGCATGGCTGGGAGGTCCTCGCTGTGCCTGGCTCTGAACATAGAAAGGAGAGGCTGGACTTGGGGCTGGGCTCCCCTTTGATTCCTGCAGGAGCGATGCTGATTAGTGAGAAAGTGACAGTTCATTTGCTTTTGCCAAAATAATGAAGAAGATGAGGGCCAGCCTCTCAGCGATGCACTTGATGAAGAGCACACTTTCATGGGTGCCAGCCAGCCTTGCCTTTTCCCTCTTCTTTGTGCTTTGACTTTGTTCTTTGGGTCTCATTAAGAGAGGGAGTGGATCCTTTCCCAATTAAAATGTTGACATGTCGAAGACGCTCTCCTTTCCCATCATTTTGCCTCTGTTTGTGAGTGGTTGCACCTTGCAGGATGAACTAGAATTAAATCAAGTGAACTTTGATTGAATAATGCAAGCTGTAAAAGCAACCCTTCTCCATGAAAAATCCCATTTCTTTTTTTTTGTTTTTCTGTTTTGATCCCCTAGCCTGCATGGAGATAACCTTGACAGATAATCCCATGGCTGAGTAAAGCTGGAGGGAGTGTGCAGAAAGGATGGGCAGCCCACCCTTGTGCCAGTGTGGGCAGCTCTCACCTCCGAGGGTGCAGACCCAGGGAAGAGGATTTCCCATCCTTGTGACCGTGTCACTCCTTGTTCTGTCTGAAATCTGGAAGTAATTATCATTACACTGCTGTGACCAGCAGTGAGGGAATTCCAAGCCTGGGAACGGATGCTGTGTCCAACCCCTCAGGAACCCTCTTGTTCTGTGTGGATGTGGGGCTGTCATCAGTGGGGTGCAGAGCATCCTGAGAAGGGATGGAGCAGGGAATACACAGAAAGGACATTCCTCCAGTCCACTGAACATAAATCACAGGGAATTTGCTCATTGGTGAGCGAGTTGAGGAGTTGAGCCAGGATATGCTCTTTGTTTTTGGTTTGAAATCAATAGCAAAGCTCCCAGTGAGGTTGGTCTGAGGGGGATTTGGTGCCAGGTCTGTGTCTGGGCTGTGGCAGTGTGATGGCAGCACGTGTGGTGTCTCCTCAGCCTGGGGGATTGTGGTGGCAGTGCTCAGTCTTTCCCTGTGGATGACCTCGGGCATTCCTTGGCCGCTGAACCTGCAGTGTCCATGCTCTGAGTTTTTTGAAGCTCTTCAGTGTACCTGTATGTATTGGAATTTGCTGTCTGCATCCTCTCACCCAGCTGTTCTGGTTTTTGCAGGGCTGAGCTGTGCACACAGAGGGATGGAGGTGATGGAGGTGGGTGGGTGCAGGGGCTCTCCCTGCTGCTGGCCGTGGTGCTGGGGATGCAGGGCTGGAGCCACCTGAGCTCTGGGCTTGTGGGAGCTGTTCCCACCTCTGACAGGGCTGGGTGGTAGAGGGGGCTCCCCCACTCTGTAAGGATCGTGCCAAAACTGCTCCCATCCCTTCTGCCCTGCATTGCTTGGCTGCTCTCAGCTCATTTGTGGGGCTGTTGGGGGCAGTGCTGTGGGGTGGCATCCACCCCTTGGCATGGCAGCACCAGGACTGATGCACAAACACAGGGTCAGGTATTCTCTGTGGTATTTAGTTCTTGGGTATGATATACTTTGAAAATCCATGTGTCTGTTTGCCCCTGCGTTCTAAACATCCCAGTCATCCAGCAGGACTGGATGCAGGAGCTGCAGGGACCAGTAGTTTGTGCAGTAAATCTCCAGTGTGACTCTCCAGCAGTAATTACTGTGTGAAAGTAATAACCGAGCTGTGCTGAGTGCTAGGCCAACTCCCCCGGCTCGCTGCTCCTCGCATGTTTCTCTCTGGGAGGTTCCTGTTTGGTAAATTAGATATTGTGCTGTATTTCAGAAAAGGTTACACTTAACCAAGGCTGCCTCTGCTTTGTTATCTTGGCAGAGCCGTGTAACCTCTGCTGGGGTACGATTGGATTTCACATTGGGCTCTGCTGCAGTGCCCCACTCCTGCATCCTGCCATTGTGATTACGTTAGCAGCAGACTCTGCTTTCCTTTATTTATTGAGACATTAAAGATGCATGCATTTATTTTTACCATGTTCATAATTGCCATAAAAACAGGCCATAGTATCCCAGAGCGGCTCTTTGGGAAGGAGAACAAGCACGGGGCTGGGGCCAGGAGGAGCCTGGCACAGAGAAGGCAGGGCAGGGCTGTGGGGCAGGTGGATGTTCCCATTCCTGTCCTGGGAGGATGCTGCTGGTGTCCTCAGGAAGGGGAGCAGAGCAAAGCCTGCTCCTTGTGCTGCTCAGGAGCCAAGGAGCATCCCCAGGGCTGGGGTGGTGGGATCCCTGCAGGTCTGGGGAGACTCTGGGTGGATGGAAAGGTGCACTGGAGTGCCTCACCTGTACAAGATCCTGCGTCCTTAGGGGTCCCTGAGGTGCAGGAAGGATCCTGGCCAGGCTGTGCAGATCCCACCATGTTCCACCACTGTGGTTCCCCATGCATGTCCCATCACATCCTACCATGCACCTGCCACTGCATCCCAGTGCTGAGCTCCCACTGCATCCCAGTGCTGAGCTCCCAC